CGGCGGCGTGGCCCTCACCCTCCCAGAAGGGCAGCATGGAGAGGGGCACCACCACCAGCGCCGGCGCGGCCGCCTTGCAGTCCGCGATCAGGCCCGCCAGGTGGGCCGCCACGGTGGCCGTCTTGCCGCACCCCGCCTCGTCGGCCAGCACGCAGCTCTGGCGGCGCGCCCACATCGCGCGCAGCCAGTTCAGGGTCGACAGCTGGTGCGGCATGAGGGCCGCGCCGCGCACCCACTCCGGTTGGGACGTCAGCTGCAGGGGCGGCCCGCCGGGGAGGGGGGGAGTCAGACTGTCGGTGTGGGCGATGCGATTTAGCAAAGCAAGCCGCAAGCCACAAGCCAGGATGTGCTTCCTGCCAGAGGTTCAGCTCCGTATGAGATCCCGGTCCAGCAAGCCTATGAAAGTACACGCGGTGCTTAGTAGCGCAGCCGGCCCAAACTCCCACAGCCGCCCCGCCACAACCCCCCCACCTCGGGGACACCCTGCTGCTGCGCCCGCGCCTCCGCCGCCGCCGCCGCCGCCCGCCCCGCCTCGCCCGCACGCTCGAGCGCGCGCCGCTGGCGGGCCCAAAGCTGCAGGTGCAGCGGCAGCCGCTCGGGCTGCATCAGGGGGCCGCTGCCGTCGGGCTCCCAGGTGCAAGCGTCGTAGCCCTGGCCGCGCCACTTCACCAGAACCTCCCAGCCGGGGGACCCCAGCGCGGGCCGCCGCGCGACGAGGCGCTCGGGGATGGACCACTCGGGCTCTGCGGTGGAAGTGCGGAAGTGTCAGTGTGTTTGTGTGTGCATGTGTGTGTGGTGGAAGGGGGCCCGGAGCCGAGGGGTCCAAGAGCGGCTGAGAAGGGGCGGCGCGCGCAAGGTTTAAGGGTTGCCGGGCGGCGGTCACAGGGGGACCGGTGCCACAAGCTTGCAGCACACACAAGCTGTCGTCGTCCAAATTGAAGGGGGGGGCCCACCCTCCATCCCGGAGCACCCGTCGCACCCATCACTGGCGCGCTCAAGGCGCCCAGCCGCGACATGGGTCGCGCGCTCTCTCGCGCCGGGCCGCTCACCCGACAAGTCGCAGGGCGCGTCGCCATGGCGCTTCTTGAAGTTGAGCAGCTTCCTGCGGGCGATGCCCAGCAGGCTGCTCTCGCGCACCCACTCGTTGTGGACGTGGGCGCGGCCGGCCCACTTCACCAGGTACTCCGGTTCCTGGGGGGGGGGGGCGATGGGGCCGGGGCGTGC